TATTCGGACCATTGGAGCTCCCGCTGGCCTCCTTTCTATTTGTCTTTAGGTTTCCCGCTCACAAACGTTGAGATTGTCAAGAGCATGAGCTGGTGTAGTTCGGCGAGAAGACAATATAAAGAGGAGCTAGCCATTGAAAAAAGCGCAAATGATGCGCACTTGTAAAATGAACTCACCGCGGACGAAGCCCAGTGGAGACGCGTTTGACAAATGACGTCACGCATACACTACGCGAAGTTAGCCGTGGCAAAGTCCAGTCAGCGGCGCGTCGGACCATTGAAGAACAGCAACCCAAGTCTGCTTCCGTCGACGTATGCCATCCCCGAAAGTCATAAGGCACCGGAAAGGTTAGCACTCCCTTGATATGCAGTTGCCCCATAAGTCGGCCCACCAGAAAGTTCACGCACGCCACATGAATACATGATGCGGGCGTGATTTGAGGCTGGTCCCGAAACGGAGCCGCATCATTGGAATTGGCTCCTCAGATCTCCATATGTCGAGTCAAGTTTCCAATCAATTTGGTCCTCTCGCGGCATGTATCATCAGGTATCACCTCTGCAAATCAACAATCAATCTTCCTCTGACATACCGTAGACGCATCATAAGTGGCCATGCTGACAGCAAGATGCCCATCATAGTGCTTCTGAGTAGTAATCTTCACTAGCTCGCCCGCTTTGTACAGGCTTGGCTCACAGCGTGCTGAGAACATGTCTCTTCAGCACCATCACAGATGACCGAGGCGGAAGACGCTGATGCAAAGTGGCCTTGTCCAATGACAATGGAGATCAGCCATCGGAATGCATAATGCGGATCCAACAGCAGGTCTTGTCATAGACTGTTCATTTCGGTAGGTGTTGACTTGGGTGAGGTGAGACAGCGAGCCACGCTAGCCGTCCACTGTTAACCTCCAGAGCCTGTACTGCAGCCGGCCTCGCGTCTAATGCCGCTTAAAACCAAGCTTTTGATAAGAGACGACGGCATTGCCAATGGAATGAGCTGAGATCAGGTAACAAATCTTTCGCTGGACGTGAGAGGTCTACTAGAACGATAGTCAGTCATATGAATGTAAATGCAGGGGGGGAAGGGGGCGGACGCGATCAAAAGCCACCTGTTGGGTAATGTGGGTAATGTGCTTCTTATAGTAGTTTCGTAGTGCGATTGATCTCCTGGTCCCCAGAGCAGGCATCGCACGCATGGAGTGGGTGTGGGAAGCGCGAGGCAACCAGTCGCACTATTGGCTATATTAGTACCAAAAGAGGAAGAATAAGGATAGGTAGGCATGAGCGGGGAGACTCTTTATCAACCCCAAAAGTAGGTGACATATATGAGAACAGACGTGAGTGCAACCCTTGCCACCGAAGAGGTCGTTCAACATGGCTGCATAACTAGACGCAGTCCTCGGAGCTCTGAAATGACCGATAATCCGTAGCTTGAGATATGAAGGTTGGTTCTCGTGACTGCGGGGTCTATGCCCATTGAGTGTACGAAGCTCGCTCTTGTCAGCTGAATGCCCTCCCAATATACATGAAAAATATGAATGGGATAGAACTGACCATGAATTTGCTTCATCGAGGAGCAAGATCGCGACGTTAACCGATACACGCCGTGTTGGAGTCAAAAGGTGGATGGGGGCTGGCAGTTCCACCATTCAATTAGTTGGACCACGACACAATCAGCAAGGGCTGAGCGAAGCCTGATGAATGGCCATTCGTTCTGGAAGAGCCGTATCAGATGGGGTGTGGGTGCGCGACCTTGAAACCATCGACATAGCCTTGCAGTGGATCTGGGCTTTCGTTTGGTTTAAGCGTCACGCGCCATGTATTGCATACACACTTGCTTACTGCCGGTGTATCGAAGAGCTCTATGAGGGGTCAATGATCTGCCATTAGCGAATGGTTCGAGAAGTGCCCTCACTCACCCACGTTCATACCGTGAGGGACTGATTTACCCTGGCACGGATGTATGCAAGAAATGCAGCGCAAGGAGTCGAATGGAAAAGAGCGAGATCTGCTGATATGAGATACTTCCCTGATGGCAGTACGTCCTCATCGCTGATATGGTTGACGCGCTATTGTTTCTTTAAGGAATTTGTCGGCGTGGCGACGAAGGCGTAAGGCTAGAGACGCTTGAATATAGAGTGCGTCTCTTGTATTCGGGGTGAAATCGGCCTCGCCTTGGGTACATGATGGGTGGTCTGTCCGAGAAATGGTCCCTTGCTATCGAGTCCAAGATCGAGAGGGTAGAAAGCTCCATGAGGTATCCGGCATCTGGATAGCCCACACCGGGACTTTGGGGGGCGTGAAGATCTCTGCCATAGAAGGGAAGTCAGCTTTAGGTACAAAAACTCAATCAAAGGTCGGGAACACGGATCACATGCAACGTTCGCCGGTATTCATGACGTATCAATCCATTAACTTTTCGTGAGAGATTCCTGTGATAGAAATTTGTTTGATCAGCGATTGACCTCATGGAGTTTTTATTGGGCCTACCATATAAAAGCTCTACCGTAATATACCAGGGGTAGAGAGCCTGTCATGTTTGTCATCGAATGTGTTCAGATCTGGACTGTACCGAACGTTCAAGAAGCTCTATTGTGGAATCGTAAGATAGGACCTAGTGCCTTTTTCATGGGTCAAACCAATTTGACACCTCACCTTGGTAGAGATTTTGCGTCCTGCGGTGGATGTATTGGAAGCCTAGTGGAACCGAGGAATAAACGGTGTTAGTGTAAGCTTTAACTAAGGAAGGGTGGTACTCACGTATTCAAGCCCTCGTGTATCTGTTCCAGAGGAAGAGTGTTATCAGTGAGAGATAGCTAGGCTTGAGCTGATGACTGGGTACACTTACAAGTAGTAGACGAGAGGAGATGATCACAAGTCAATCTTCGCAAATGATATGTGCGAAGAGAGATGCAAGAGGAAAGTCAAGCAAGACGGATGGGAGCATATTTATACCCTTCAGGGCGGAGTTCCTCGTCTTTCGCTTGAATCAAGAGTGGCAAATTGTGAGACTCTCTGATTCTTTCTAGGCAAGAGGAAAAACGGCATACCAGCAAGCAGTTTTCTGCGCTAAAAACATGGTTATTCACCAGCAGTGAGCAAACAGGGATAGCAATAATAGGTAGAATGACAAATCGTTGGTAACATCTCAAGATCCAAGTAGAATGCGGTCAGGAAATCCCACCAAGAAAGTGGATCAGTGGCTAATTCAGACACCAGAGTTCATTCACCAGCGGATTCAGTTGAATCAACAGCGATGAGCAAACATGAGACGTCCCAAGAATATGCGGAATGACAAATAGTTATCAAGGAGGAATCATCGAGGTAGAGTTTGAGTCTCGGTAAGGCGAATTAGGGATGGCCGAATGAGGTCGTAAACCTTATTCACTCGCGAAATCAGTTGACTCAACGGGGATGAGCAACAGGAGCTCTATCAACAATATATGGAATGACAGATACTTGTTGAAGAGTAAAAGTTGAGGCGAGCACTAGGAAGTCCTCATTTCTATTACTGAATTGACTATCTTATCGTTTCTCTCTTCCCTTGTCAAGCCCACTTAACTAGTGGCCGGAGAGAAACCTATAACCAGGCTAAATAGTTTTGCTAGCTGCATAATCACTTGCACGGCAATGAATCATACGGGCGCATAGTGGGATTTGAGCAGAACACATAATACGCGCCCTGGAGGGAGCCTGGAAATTGCCGTTCCTCCTCAAGCATAATGTGAACCGTGGGCAGCCCAAATTGGCAAGACCATAACAATGCACAGTCGTTCAAGTTGAGCCAACACCGGGTACCTTGGATCCACACCGGTGCGGCCCGTGGGTCGAGGTGGGGCCACCATATCCACTCTGGTGCCTCAACGTTGAGTGAACGACAGTGAATGATCAGCGAGGAAGCTGGAAGCCCTCAGAAAATGATGGTGAATGAGAGATTGCTGAATTTTGTGAGACTTCCGGAAACTCTCCAAGGCGTCCTTGGAATCGCTTTCCATTACAGTTCGGTCGTTTTAGCAAAAAGCACCGCTCCTCAAGTAGCGGGTGCCGGGCATACACTACTCTACGAAAGACACCCAAGTGCCTCCCACCAAAAGCTGAGAGTTGGAGACAGTTATTCACTAAGTTGATATGCCATGGGCTTTTTTATAGTAATGCCATAATCAGAGTATATTGACAATCACCAAGAACTCAGAGCTCTCCGGTTTCTCTGCTGCCAATCTAGGTCAGTTGATACCAGCCCTTAAGTAGAATATGTGGACACATGGGACTCTGCACAAGTCCAGTAATGGATGTATGGAGGAATGCCCTTGAATAGCAGTCATGTAGGCATGCCTTCTCTCAATGTGCAGCAAATACAAAACCTGTCAAGCCGCGTACCTCTTCACAATAAGCCGCCAGAACTTGGGCATAGTCAAGCGGAGGTGACATGGAAGCCGCACGCAATTCGACGGGCCTCTTCAAAGTAGACCAATTGCCTGACCACAATCCTCCCCCATGGCACTTACGCACGCGCAGCATAATGCTGAGGACCTTCATTCTGACTCACGCCTCTGAGGTCACCGTACCACTACTGTGAACCATGGGCGAGCCAGCTCTTTGCCCTCTGATTGCAACTGCGCCAATTTTGTGATTCGACCAGCACTTTCTGTGAGTCACGAATACTACACACCCAGATGGAATGAACGGTCGTGGTGCTGTCTGCCGCGACATGATTGGCGATCCATTCGCCAGCATCGTCCATCTCATGGTTCAAGACCGGTGAAGACATTGCATTGACCGCCAGAACCGTCCTCGGTGAGAGATTTGCACTGCTGGTATCTGCGAGAAAGCGTAGCTGAAGTCCATAAAAGCAGGCTCCTCCCCCGGTCCATTTGTCTTTCTTCACACATCGCGGCCGCGGTGTGTCGCCTCTGACCTTCGGGCCTGAGGTTTCCGTGACGACGGCTGTTGCTGATCCAAGCCCAGTGACATAAGAACAGTGCTTCGCAGGGGGGCGCTGCGTTACCAAGTGAACTCCGCAGGGGGACGCTGTGATGACAATTGAGACCCGCAGGAGACCGCTGCGTCAACAAGTTCTCTGCAGGAGACCGCTGCATTACCAAGTTCTCTGCAGGAGACCGCTGCGTCAAATAAGTTCTCCGCAAGGAAAAATGCGTTACCAAGAGGATCCGCAGGGACATCTGCGACACCAAGAGTCTCCGCAGGGACATCTGCGAAATCAAGGCCCCCTAGCAATGTGCAAGCACCTCTGCGTGGTGCTAGGGACCAGTATTCATCTCCCCTGCGGACTGCAACTCCCATGGGGACTGAAGAAGCCAAGACTTGCACAGTAGATAGACTAAAGCATGAGCCATAGCAGCCCACTGGGAAATGCAATCATCACATTATCAGTTCAGTCGCTTCAAAGCTCTCTCGTAGGCCATACCTAGTGTCGTATTTAGTAAAATCGCTTTACGCAATAGGTTCCTCGGCATGCCCACTGATGAGCCAATTCAAAGCGGTCGTCTCGAACTGCACGAGACTTATGTTAAAAGTAGGCAGTTTATCTGAATGATTCCCTCATTCGCGAACCCAATGCCAGGACCCCGTCCAGGCAGGATTTTCGTGACGCTGACCAATAAGGTGACCTGAGCCGTCAAAGATCATCCGGCCTTGAAAAGTGGGAAATGGTGCTGAGAGCGACTTTGAGGTGATGCGATTCTTGAGGTGATGCGATTCTTGAGGTGATGCGATTCTTGAGGTGATGCGATTCTTGAGGTGATGCGATTCTTGAGGTGATGCGATTCTTGAGGTGATGCGATTCTTGAGGTGATGCGATTCTTGAGGTGATGCGATTCTTGAGGTGATGCGATTCTTGAGGTGATGCGATTCTTGAGGTGATGCGATTCTTGAGGTGATGCGATTCTTGAGGTGATGCGATTCTTGAGGTGATGCGATTCTTGATGGGAGTGATTCTTGATGGGAGTGATTCTTGATGGGTGAGTGTTGACGCGCGCGTGCTGATGTTGACTCGTCGGGCTACAAACATACGGTGAAGCGGTGAAGGGCAGGCAGTATTTGGCTTCACACTGGCTGGTCTGCCCTCGACCCAACTTCACGCGTCCATTCGCCATTGTCTGGGCTGCCCCAAGTATACTGTACGTCCTTGCCTGGAACTTTCGTAGATCTAAGTTTCCTTTTTCCTGACTCCTTCATATCAAGTACAATCTACACCTCCTAATCTCTTGAGACCAACGATCCCTACCTCATAATGGCACAATTGTGTTTTCTTCCGCGAGGTTGGGAAGCGGAGCATGTATGTTTGGGTACGTCGAATTGATACCATTTGTTGAAGCTATGTTGCCCTTTTCACGGTCTCCCTCCAACGCAAATCGGATTAAGTGCACCTATCAAAAATTATTCTTTAATGCCCCCGGCGGATACGGTGGTTGAAACCGAGGCCTTTTTATAGTTTTATTACCGATGAGATTGACTAAATAGTAAAAAAACAACGAAAAACCTCTAAACCCACATTGAAATTGTAGGCAGAGCCCATCATGATACTGCCATCATTTTTTGCATAGGGGAAACAAAGTCTGAAATCTTCATTGTTCACAAAGACTACTGGAAAGATGTGAAGCAGGATCAGGCTCATTTCTAACATGCTTGTGTCAGATACGTAAGTGCATTATAAAAATTGTTGCTATGTACACGTCACAGCAAAATTCTCGTCGCAAGAAATTCTTTTTTTCACTGTTAGTCTTACCATTGATATACGCTGATGGTCACAGCGTTGGTTAGTTGTAAGGATCAAAGTGGCAATTTCGCTACTGTACAACGCCCAGAAGAAATTCTCAAAAACGCAACACGATTCTCATTTTGAGAGTTTTTTGCCGCCTCAGTTGAAATATCAAAGCAAGGTAAAGTCGCGTGTACATGTACTTGAGACTGCCCAAAATGCAACAAAAAAGAGAACGAAAATTTAGGTTGAGCCTTACATGGTTTAGCTACATTTCTGATGTTCTTTTTTTCTCTCTTAGTTCTTTCTTTCGAAATGAGCTGACTTTTTCTTGAAGCTGAGGTGGAACACTCAAGTATGTGGTGGAATTGTGGTCAATAATTGTAAGCGGACCAGATGACGTGGCTAGCTGCATCTAGCATTTGCAGACCGTATGGTTTTGCATGAATCATAATAGCATGATAGGTAGCCTTACCCTGAGATTGGCGCAGCCTGATGCATACAAATACTGTGCCGGTTCCTTTGGCCAACGGGTTGTGTCGCCCATCCCCTCTCAATTTGTGCAAAGAATCAAAGACCTATGAAATGAAGGTCCCAAGGAGAATCAGTACCGACAGATCTGCTGCTTGGTTTACCATATTGGCTTCCGTTGTGGCTGTGATCTGCTGGAGCATTTTCTTTGCCGGGTGCACTTCGTCATCTACATCCGAACACCTCTACCTGATGGAAGTAAGCGTGCCTAGGAATAATTCGCATACTCAGCTAATATCGCGTAGGTCAACCTGAAGGGCTTTCCAGAAATACGGGGGAGCTCCATTGGTCAGGGATTCTCGCAGCTTCTTCCTCGCGCCCTCCCAATCGGCGTTAGTCCCAAGGAAATACCAACAGAGATTGGATCAGCCACCTCGGGCATAGCAAGCACGGTGGAAAACACGCCCCAGGAAGTCGCGGGTGCGGCAGAGAACATTGCTAGCGAGATCAAGTTACATCTGCCAGACTATTATCGCGTTGGCCTTTGGGGATACTGCAGCGGAGATGACGATCAAAAGGCCGTGTGCTCTCACCCGAGCCTATCATTCTACTTCGACCTATCCGCGATTCTACGATCAGCCTCCCCACTCGTCGACCATATACTACGCGATAAAGGGGATCACGGTATTAGTGGCTATGCAAGGCTTTCTCATGGCATCACCTGCATGTGCATCCTGGGGCTCATAGTGACCGTTTTAGCAATAGTGCTTGGCGTATGGAGGGAGTTTTACGGTGGACACAAGAAGCTACTCACAGCGTTCCATATGGTGAGTTATGAAACTCTAATTCATTTGAAACCTACTGACTTCTCAGTGCTCGTTGGCTCTAGTCACGGCGGCTACCATCGGCGTGACCACAATGTATGGCATTCTCAGTCATACTATCAACAATTTTCTCGGTGACCTCGGTGGCCAAGCGCGGGTGGGGGGATCCATGCTCGCCCTTCTTTGGATGGCGACGTTTTTCTCTCTGGGAGCCTTTTCGGTTAGTTTCGTCCGGTTCTTTCGGCGCGACTTTTAAATAATGCAAGATGCGGACTAAGGGGGAAGGGAAGTGATTCTGCGCTCCTAGCGAGACCTTGATGGATTTGAAAGCCCTCTTTCACTGTATAGCGTCTTGCTACAGTTCATCGACGCCAATTCCGCCGAAGTAACAGGGGAGTGTATGGGAATGAGACCTAAAAGCTTTTTGGATTTCATACGTTTATTATTTCATTTGGAGGATATACTGCTTGGTCAGATTTATCACTGTAGTAGCGTGTTAGGGTTGGTAAGCTGCTGAAATTTGATCGTTGTTGGCCAAGAGTCAGGATTATACCAGCATCTTTAAACATACGCGACTGTCTAGTGGTCACTTCTAATTCAAATTATTTCCTTGTGCTGTTCTCTTTGAATGTGATGTAAATTGCTAATTTAGACGAAGGGAACACCAGTCTGTTGGGCTATGACTGCATTCTCGGTATCGCAAGACTGTCGTTCCTCGTAGCAGCCCGACCATGACAGCGTAGCCATTGATGGCGGAGAGAAATCACTCAACACAATTGCCGCAGCAAAATCGATAGACGGAGCAGCTGATCTTGTCTTTCGAGCAAACTGCCGCGCGTCGATAGCAATTGCAGGTTTTGACGATTTGACACGGTTTCCAACTATATTCAAAGACCTCCAAAGGCCGCTTCATTCTTGCTGGCTAGCTCATGAAACAGAGGTGGTGTCCTGCTTCCTTGAAGCCGGAACGATCTCTTTCAGGGTCTGCCGGAACTCAAGAACGAACTTATCTTCTATGGCTTGGAATACACCTCCAAGAGCTCTGCGCAGGGAAGCTTGCTGTAATATTTCAGCTTGGAGGGTTTTGCGATTGTGGGCTCGCCGGCTTCCTTTCGTCTGCAACACTGGGGCTGGCGAGCGGTCTATTTGCGCTCGGTGCGTCTGCGGCAGGATATAGTCTAGGAGAATCCAGAATTCATAGAGTTTTTTGGCCTCGCAATTCCCACTCAATAACCACACCAGTCCAATCGCGTTATTTACCATTTCTAAAAGAGAGTTGCGGTTCTGAGAGATACGGTGCACCGCAGCATGGCGAATGGCACAAATTGGCTCGTGCCAGTTCGGCGGAGGCTTTTGTTTTTGTGGAAATGCAGACAGCGGAAGCTTTCGAAAATGTCTCTTCAAAAATGGAAATAGCCTGTGCAATTCCGGCTCCTCTGCACAGGACCATCCATTCGCCTCAGCCTCCTTTGGTAGCCACTGCTGCACGAAGCGAAAAGCTTCGGCTTCCAAATACCGCTGGAGGGCGAGGAGAACAAGATGTTGAACACGAAACGGGACGTATGCGATGGGTAAGTCGACCAGATCGTATATATCATGCATGACCTCTGGGCAAGAAATGCTGTTAGCATGAGAAGTAGAATAATATGTAGGAGTAGAATGATGTCGCACCAAAGGTCTTCTTTGTTCGTAGGCAACCGAGGGATTTTTGCATCTGGCAGGAGCTTGACGCTCGAGTGTCAGTGAAGACCGTCTATGGGGTGGAATCACTTACCTGGTCTCATTTTGGCATGGAATGAAACCGATGAGAGGTGATATCTCTTCTGCCTGGTCATTTTTTGGAGTTGCATGGTCGTCATGCCGCTGGTATCGTCTGATCCGCTTCCGGTTTTTGCCCATATTGGACAACGCGATCGCTTGTCATACAAAGTAAGCAATTTGGGATATTGATCAAGCGTTGGTTGCTGCGCTCAGTCTGAGTGAAAAGCGCACATTTTCAGCGGAGACAATGCCACACTTGACAAGAGCTAGGATATTCTTTGACTAGACTTTATGTGCTGAAAGCGAGTTTGAAAATTCGCACGACTGCAGCTGGCGGCGTGACCTCGCGTTACACCTGAATGCAAGCTTTGGGACACTAATTTCCAATTTTGTCTGTCCAAACTTTGTGGTACACAAAAGGTGAAAGAACAGTTGAGCATGTTGACCGAACGGTCGACAAACAAGGTCGACGGCCATCTTGACTGGTAAGGTGACTGTTGAATCAACACGTTGATAATGGATGGTTTTCATCAAAACGGATGAGGATATCTTCCGTTACTGCAACAGCAATCTGGAGTCTCTTTATGATGCCGAGTTTGAGTACATACTTGTTTGAAGTCTCATTGAATGACTACAAAATCGCTGATTCAAGTTGACCTCCAACTTGTAAATCTTCTGTGTGGTGAGATATCTTGAGATCGGTATTTTATTTCATAATTGAGAATATGTCTCATTGCAAAGTTCCCGAATGGGGGTCATTGAAGACGCAACACAATCTCGAGCTCCAAAGGAAACGCAGCACTCTAATTCGCAACGGGAAAGCGAGATGTCTCTTTAACGATAGTTTGTGATCAATCTGTGCACAAAACAGGCAGGATCTAACAGCATCCGACCACTCGCGTGATCAGTCCACGGGCTAGATACCTGGGCGTGAAAGGGTAGAGCCCTCGCGAGCGGTCGCACCAGCAGTCGGAATGATGGCACGCGGATTTCCATTGCAATAAGGCGAAGTATGTCGAATATCTGTGCCTGCAAGCGGTGAAGATTCTCCAGGAAAGTCTCGACTCGCGGCAAGAGAAAGATATCCTGCGCAATCATCTCTCCGGTGCACGGATCCAGTCGTAGAAGACGAAACTCGAGGACATGTGCCATCTGAAGGTCGCTCATGGGTAGCATCAAATGAAACATCTCATCAATGGATGCTGCAATCGAGAGGGGATTTGGGCCCGGCCACCCAAAAAAGAAAGAAGCCGAGGAGTCAGAATAAAGCAAACAATCGGTCGTGGAGGAGTGGCAATTTGTCGCCTCTGAGGGTTCCTCGGTAAGCAGCTCGCCATCAGACTCAACGTCAGGTGGGCCAGCTGACACGGTGCATATTCCCCTCGAGATCTCGTCGAGGTCCAAGTCCAGATCAATTTCATCACGGCAAGGCTGACTGACGTTGAATGTCAGGCGACGCAAGTTGATCATGTCTGAACAACTCATTCTTGTAAAATCCTTACAGGAAAAGGGATAGCGACCGAAATATATGAATGAATTTCTCAAGGATAGGAATGAGTTGGTAAATTTGGATATCTTTCTGTCAGGACACCCTCTCCTTTAAATAATTCGCTTGGCAGGCGGACGAACCCCATGGCTTGGTATGGCACGGCCCTTTCTTGGCTCATCAAAATTTACAGATCTTGCCAGGTGCCCTCGGGCTCTTATTCAAAGACATCTACAGATTGAAAAGTACGGCAGGTATCCTAGCAGAGATTCTGTTTTCTTATTTGGGAAGGGCTACTTGGATAACCCGCGCGAATACATCACATACAAAAAGGTACGGACAAGCAATCAGGCTTTCTCAGCAAGGTAATCCTGCCTTGAACAGACCAGTCTTCCAAACCATTTATTCCGCCTCCATTATCACATCGTCCAGATCTCCGCACTCACATTGACGCCATATATCCATGATGCCCATGATTTGCTGTCGCGAGGACTCGAACGCACGATCGAAAGCCTCCAACTTGATCTTCAGCTCTTCCGCACGTATGCTGAGATCGTGCTTCTCTGTCTGAGTATGATCTATAGCCTCACGCAAACTATGGTTCTCCCGCACAAGCTGGACCTCCCGCATTTGCTTAGAAACACAGGATTCCCACAAGCGTCGGTATAGACCGACGAGTCGAGCCGCTTGAAAGGCTAGTTTGGGGTCACTGATCTCGAGATCAGCCAAAGTTTCTTGTATGTCTTCGAATGGCTGTTTAAGGATCGTGCGGGAGCTACCCGGAATGCTGTTGTCTGGCACCGTCTGAGACACATTAGAATCTAACGAAGAAACGATGGGGCTCAAATAGTTTTTGATGTAGAACGTACCTGCTGGTCGGGAATTTCTTTTGCAGGTTGTTCCTGCATCATAGTAGAAGACGGGCTCTCGTTGGGGTCGGTGGCATGACGAGGAGAGGCGATATTGGGAAGAGGGTCCATGGTGCGAGTTAACGAAATACTGAGTTGCAAAGGTAGATGAAATGAGAATTAAGGCGATAGATGTTCATCTTATATTTGCTTGTGCAGTGTGTTCGAACTCATACCATGGTTCAAGCACAGGCTACTGCACACGAAAAATTTGAATTTAGTTGACGCAACTGTTGGTCAACTCTTCTCCCATTTGTTTACTCACCGACAACTCACCAGACCTTTCTTTTCGACAGTCATCTGAGTCAATTAGTTTAGACCGGACGTGCTGATGCAACAGACAATATGCGACACTGTCTTGGAAACTAATTTTATTGTACTCAAGTGCACATAACGAATCGTCGTGGACAATGTGAGGGGTGTTCACAGAAAAAACCTTCGACCTACGATTGAGCTACTGACTATGCGATCATTTGAATATCACAGTAAGAAACACTTTTGATTTTCTCGGTCGTTCGACCCTACGTTGGCGTGCACTCGAACATAAATGCCCCCTTTCCGCCATGATTGTTTCTCCCCACGCTCGTGAAAATGGTCAATATAAAGCTCTGGCTGATAGGAGTATCGCTGCTTCTTTCCATCGCGGTATGTTAGCCACATTCCTTCATTGTCCGAGTAATGATCCGTGACAGGCCTCTAGCCCAATCTTCTCGCCCACGGTCTCTTATTACGCAGTCAGTTTTGGGTATCTCTTCATCCACCTCATGAAACTAATTCTCTTCCTAGAATGGGATTGTGAGAGCCACGCCACTTCCAGAAAGGACCCACAAAGGGCAAAGTGAGACACCGGCACATGCACACAGTACTAAGCATCGGAAAACACGTGGACACCGGCATTGGCATTTGCGATAGGCGGTCACTTTGATATTTACTAAAAAAATGGCTCGTCGCTAGACTGGCCCTCAATTGAGCTTTTGAGTGCGTTTTGACTGGCTTATTCAATGTTGTTAAGTAGACTGTCAACAAAGTTGAAGGAGGTTTGATGATTGAGGCCTCATGACAGGGTTATTGGATTAGGAAACTATGCTGTGTGAACTAGTTACACATATACTCGTCGAGGAAATAGAGACTTTCCACCAAAATGGACGATTGCTATCGCCATGATCTATCGAAAGCAGAGGAGTTGCATAACAAGGCTAGCGAGCTCTTTCCCATCATGAGCATTGCTGGCGATAAAATGTTCCTGCCTTTTGTTAGAATCTTTTAGACATGGGAAGCATGAATGGGGCTGCAAGTACCATTTGAAGTGCCAGAATTGACTTTGCCGATGTGGCAACAGCCAGGAATTGGCTTGCAGCACACCTGATCGGCCAATGTGCGATGCGAGTTTCTTCGCTCTCCTGATCTTTGTGCATGAGCTGCAAGGCCAGTGATGGAATCATTGACAGGTACGCCTGCTCAGCCTGATCTGGCGTGCAGTCTACACAGAGCTCTAAGCGTGCTGGAGAATGTCAGTCTGAATCACTACCAAGGGCGGTTGACGCACCGATCTTGACAGCTCCGTCCAGTCCAAGTAGAAAATCCCCGCAACCAAGCGATTGATGAGTGAGTCCAAATGAGTGCAAATATTGCATCCCACTGATGACCTACAGGACATGGATCAGGATACGCCGCGTAAACAATGTTGCCTGACATACCTGAGACAATATAGCGCTCAGCTCCTTTTCATTCGGACGAACCTGGGGAGCCTCTGAAACCAACCCTAGAGTGAAGGGCAAGTCATCTAGCAAGAAGAATCCAGAATCATCGTGTAGATAGCATTCATGGAGTCTCAGTACATTGGCATGCTCTAGGTGACCGAATCGGTCGATCAAACGGCGAGCGTCCTGCCTCTGATACTTTCGAATGGCCACAATGCGGGATCGGTGTGTGCGTCGGCTAGCAAAGATGACTTCGCCGGCAAGATCCGCGTGAAAGATTTCTTGATAGGTGTCCCATGGACGTTCGTGCCGCACAAGAAATGCGGAGTTGAGATCAGCGATGGCTAGGAGACGGGGAAGGCAAAGAGTCTTCGGCGCGCCTGTAACGACTTTTGATGTACGAGTAAAAATGCTTGGCGAGTGAGAAGATTTTTGTGCGCGGCCGGGACGCACTGTCTTTGAAAAGACTGGCGCAATTCCAAGTTCTTTCCCTTGAATGGCACGAAAGTCGAAAGCAAGATGCTTGTTAAAAGTATCCATGTTTGAGCTCCACAGACCGACCGAACGCTTCGCAGTCAAGATCTGCCTTAGGTAAAGGGTATATAAGCGTGACCAACATTGTCACAAGGAAGAGAGCCAGCAATTCTGACATAGTTGATGGATGAATGTCCCTAGCACACTATGCCTTTCGTATTTTCTACGTTCTATAAAAATGAGGCGAAAAGAATGTGGTGCCTTGTCGTGAGGATGCTCCGAGCATCAAGGAACATCTTTGAGGTAGGCATTTAGTATAATTATGAGGCTTTGACAAATCTTTCACTTTAATATTTCTTTACCTGGTCAGAAATCAATTTCTGTTCTCGGCTGAAAAGAGCGGCAAGTTTTAAGCTTGTGGCGAAAGACCTTTGACGCCGCGCAGCTGAATCTCCCCTGCAGAGCTCTTGTTCGATTCGGTGTCTGAGTCTTTATTCCTCGATTGTTAGAACGACTTGCTTGGAGAGATGAGTATAATTCTGTTTGAAGGAAAGTAGGATAGCATACACAGGAAAGGTCTCATTTTAAAGAGAAGAAAGAACAGCTCCTCGGCACACATCATGACCCTTCGAGTTTCGAGAAAAACATGGCTAGACAAGCTTATGCCTTTCAAGAAATCTATCGTCATACCTGCCCAATAAGCTTCTTTTCACTGACGTGGCTGCGCACTCTGCCGGGTAGAGCGACGACGACCACCCGTCGCTTCCCTTCCCGCCCTTCCCGCGTCCCTGACGTTTTGAGATAGCGTTTCCACAGCTGCCAATCGCTTGCTGAGATCCTCCAACAAATGGTTTGTCGATTCATTCCATATATTTTGCTCATGCAGAGCACTTTCGAGGCCACTAAGAAGTTGTCAGCAGTGTTTGGGACGGTCCAGCTTCCTCACTTACTTCATCCGATTATCTAGACTTCGGTCAGGTTAGCTATTGGTCTCAAGAAAGGAAAACGGGGGCATACTCGGCTAGACACTGGATGGCAATGATACTGTCTGTTGCATCAATCGCCTCGGCATTCTGAGGTAAAGGGAAGGCTGCTGCCAACCCTTTGGTGGGGGCGGAATGTTCATTGCCCGGCGATTGCTCTCCCTCATCACTTCCGACGTGGGACTCACGCTCGTCTGCCTCACCTTGGAAGGAAGGATCATCTACTGTGGTGTCACCACTCAAGGCACTTCCAGAGCCATCGGAATCACAAGATGAGAGCGAGAGAGCACGCTGCAATCTCTGGCGGAGACGCTGTCGCCGGTCGGCAGTCGAGTCGTTAGAATACGCATTCATTTTTGTAGGCAGTCAAGAAATGAACTCTCTTTACTGATTAGAAAATGCAGCCGGTAAATGATTGCTCTTTATACGAAAGAAGTGGCAACCGCATTTTGTTAAGTGAGTCACGCATGCACATAATGCCTTTGAGGGATTCTATGGGACCGTGTTCGCTCCTGCAATGGGCCGTCAGGAGATGAAATAAACTCAAATTTCCAGAAAGTGTGGTCCCTGGATAATTTCCTTTGATTTGATGCTGGTGAGTCAACGAGATTGCTGAGTGCCCATGTGTGGACTCAACAGCGGCCAACTGTGGAGCCATTGCAAATCACATTGGGAACCGACATGGATGATAGACACGAGCTAATTCAGTCAACATCACTTTTAACCCGACTCATCGTCTAATTTGTCTTTGGAGGGTAAATGAGTGACCCACTCGAGGCATAGTTCGATAGAACTACCAATGTTGCGCCATCGCGAGTAATCCACGGGCTGTCTATGTATTGGTCTGCAGTGAATCCACAATATTTATTATTAGCCTACAGGAAAATAGAAAATAGGCCGCAAAAATATTATCATTGATTTGAGCTGCGTGGTGAAGGCCAGCGAGAACAACTGCACATATCGCAAGTACCAAAGTCTCAGCAAGAAGGGTGATGCCCTTTTTTAGATAGCGTGGGATAAAATAGTCGTCAACTTAACGTCAACTCTGATTTCTGAGCCAAAGTGCAGACCAATCAAAGTCTACCCATATCCCCCCTTTGGCAGCAGTCTAGTGTCCGGTGAGTTTCAAAACTTATTTTCAGTATTTAAATCATGGATACCTTGGCTTGCCAGGCTCCAGGGCGTGTGTTAAATATCAATCTCTCTTTACTGCTCTGGTGTTTGACGACCCATCTTCCTACCCCAAGTTTCCTTCTCTCACCAGGCATTTATCATTCTCATTGCTCCTTTGGCCATGGCGCGAGGGAATAGCTGCAAGCAGGATCAAACCAGTCATCACTCGTTGCGAGCAAGACCGTTAATTAATAAAGCTCGATCAGTATCAAATGTTTCAATCCGGTCGGCGTCTCCAGTTTCGACCGTTCGAGGCGCCAAGTCTAGCATTTTAAAGCGGCATCACAGTGTGAGTCGCTTTTCTCGGACCCTGCGAGACCTGATTGATTCAATCTTGTGGCGCTCTATCAGCCTTTGGCCTTCTATTGACAGCACATAGGGTTCTTCCGCGAAAGGCTCCCACAAACATGGCAAAATCGACCGTCAGAAATACTCTGATCTCCTTTCTGAGGTCCAGACTGAGATGGAGAGGGAAGCGGATGAGCAGCTAGCTAGGGCCACGTCACGTTTTCAGGCAGAAAAGGCACAGGATGTGAAAATAATGGAACAGATTATCGCCGAAAAAGACAGTCTCTCAGCCAAGAATTTACAGGCCGAGGGTGAGGTTTCTCACCTGAAGCAAGAGCTGGAAGCACAGGCCCTGGCCACGCAAGGCCAAGTGAGCTGGAGCGAGATACAGTCAACCTTGTACCAAGCTCATAGTCAGTTGGTATCGACAGCTACTGGGCTTTGGAGCTCGATCGAAGCCATCCAGAATCGCCAGCTAGCAACATTCCTGCCTGGGTCAAGTGCCATGGATTGCAATTGGCTCAATCTGGGTGGAACACCCAACCTTACTGGGTCCGATACTTTCGCGTCACTCTACAACTCACAGGCTGCTCAACAAGACGAGCAGGCAATCAACTGAGACAGCCACACTCATTGATGGTGATTCCTTTGCAGACGGGTATGCTTCTGATGCGGTCTTCACTGGATTGAATTGAGATAATAATGATGGAACAGGTATTTTGAGCCTCGCCGAACACATTACCACCATGGATTCATCCAATACTGCTTGAAGAATGTGGTCAAAATATCTTTCTATTGAACGTCTAAAAGCCCGCATTTGACCTAAATGAGTGGGACACCAGACAGTAGCTTTTTTTAAATGGGAGTAAAATGGCTGGAATGACAAAATACAGAATGATCCAATTCCTGACACGGAAGATTTTATGGAGTACATATCATGAAAAGAGAATGTCATTCCTGCCTATTTGAATGTTGTTACAAATGACTTGTTCTGTCCGCATGTGCCATTCATCTTGCATGTAGTACAGTCACAAAATCAAAACCCCCAATCGCTGGGCTCCGCCAAAGCGGTAAACACACTCCCAGGTCCGGTCATTTCCTCCTATGATCAAGTCGTGTGTAGTCTGCTGGCATCAGTGTCGGATCTGTGATATGGATCAGCATGGTAAAAATTCAAAGCAATCTCAACAGGCATCTTACTAGTGAATGATCTTTTCGACTTTGTAGTCACTGCGGTCTGATTTATGTGTGGCGGATTCCTGAGCCATTGGTTGGTTGAACGCCTCAGTCGCTTTCTCTTCTTCGAAATTTTGCAGTTTGCACACTTTGGCGCCTCGGATTCATTGACAATTAGCGTTTTGCCAGCGTCGCGGCGTTTTCGAAGGATGTGGTGCTTTTTCCCTCGTAGAGACTCGACGCTTCGTCTTACATGATACTGCTGCCAATAGGCAATCGACAAAGCTTTCCAGGTCAAGTCTCGATTAGATTCGAGCCAGGGAAGGAGGTTCTCCTCCTCCCAGGCTGACCAGCCGACTGCATTATGGGGCGTCATCATGCAACTGAGGAGTAGCGTTTATGACCGTTTGGCGGTAAGCAAGTGATTGAAATGGGGATGAAGATGTTCTTACCCAGGGGTGTTCTCATGGGTGAGCAGTTGCGGCTTTATGGAGAATCGCAATTGACAAGCAATTCATTCTTTGGTCGGTCGCTCAAAAAGTACTCCTGGTGGGCGCGATGTTGCATCAAGGTCCATGGTTGACCTCTTGCAGCCTCTTGGCAGAGCTGAACAGAATCGGACGCGACTTGTTGAACAAACGGAGTGGCAATCACTCAATAGCGCCCTGAAGCGGGATCAACATTCGATCTACGCATTAGAGTTGTTACACTGAATTCTACGGAAAGAAAGGGTTGTCGACTCTGTTGTTAAAAAAAACTATTGTCTATCGAGGCTGGCTTGAATTTGAAATAACAAGCATCAAAATATCCCGCGAATTAGACGGGGACCTCGCCTAAGTGGCTTTCACTAGTACAGGATCAGAGATCTGGATAGCTTAACCATTCTCCAACTTCCAGTCTAGAAGCCTTGACCGGTACATTGTGTGAAGAAAATTAACTCATTGAATGGGAGGATCCTTTGATCGGAAATACCCCCCGCAGTAGACACCTGGGAGGCAGGAAGTTTGAAGACAGTTCGTGGAAAGCTATGTGGTAAAATTAGGATACAAAGCGGGTCACTCTGGACTGTGGACGGCGATCCGTTGACTTGGCAGTGGGTTGTCGGAACCATGGGCCGTACACTTATCGTGACCGTAATCAATATGATATAATTCCGGTTACGTCACACCTGTAGGTCTGCCGTATGCAGTGTCAACCCTGGCATGAAGAGAAATCACAAATTTCTCGAGAATTAGCAACGCTTCCAGATCTCAAAACAGGTCCACTGACTGCAAGGCTAGTAGAGAGAAAGGCAGGTACTAAGCATTTGTCTTTTGACTATGAGGGAGACTATTCCAAATGTCACAACCATGGACGCGCTGTGAATTGACTTTGTCCGGACCCAGCGTCAATCAAATTTTGACGCCCGGGATTCATCCAGGGTGGCCCCAATGACTCGGGACAATTATTGGTCTACTATTATGTAATTGAAGTCAATATTCCAGCCTGAAGAACTCTGAAGATGAAGGACTTAAAATATTGAATGAAGGCAGGATATGCTAGTGAAAGTCCCCCACGTTCTTTCGCCCTCATTACCTCCACGCAAGTGCCTCATCACGAAGGACCAGCTAAATCGCTCACAGGGAGTATGCACGGGCATCTAGTCGCAGAATTTATTTTCCGGTGCTTATCGCGGGAAGTGGGTACTCAGGTCACTGCCAGGCTCGGGGAGAAACTAACCGAAGATTGAGTTATGGATCTGGACCGCGTTCACATCGAGTATCCACTACGCCACTCCGCTCAGCACAAAACGTTTGTTGCAGCTTAGCTGTGGAGGGTAGGAGAGTTTTGAATGCCGATATCATCTATTACTATGGCAAAGATTGCTGCTAATGGCCTAAGTGGCAGAAACAGTCATGATGGATTCCAGTACAATTACTCGTAATTGTGCAATGTGTGCTAAGGGTGACCACTCCTCGTTCTATCAAGCCCCAGACTGTTAGTGATCCTGACCCCCCACCTTGCTTCGCCGCACTGAAGTCTCATGTCAAGTTAGGATCAATCGAGTGCTGTGGCTGAAGAAAGGATTCGTGGACGGGAAAGTCGAGGGCGCTTTGGTCAGGCCAGCCTCCGTCGGCCAATCCGGACTCTGGCACATAAGGAAGCTGCGGTCCACTCACTGGATTGTTGACCATGCTCCAGAGTAGAGCATTCGCCGCAGCGACCTCGCCAATCGCATGCTGTGAGGCTAGCTGATTCTCCTGCTGCTGGATTTGTGCTTGCATGTTGGCAGCCATGAGATTCATCTGCTGATGCAACTCATGCAGTTCGTTTTTCAGGCGTCGTGCTTCAGAAGAGATTCTCTCATTCTCCACCACTTGCTGCTGGATTTTGGCGGCATTCTCGGCCCTATCGGCGTGAAGACGTTGTATTTCCAATTGCATGCCGGCGATCTGTGCGTCCTTTTCGCCAAGTGCCTGATAGAACTCTTCCTCGCATGCATTTGTGACAGGAAAGCATTTCTGGTACATTGCCTTGCGGTATTCTCTGCTCTCCCGTGATTTTACACGATCCTAGATGTCATTTCGGTCAGCGAATGTGCACAGAGAGCAAGAATTAAGAACAATTATCCACGAGTCCTGCGAACGAGCGTGATCTCAAAAATATGGAGGATGGCGACTGACCAACTTGTTACTCGGTACGCCCGCGGCCATGATCCACGCTAGCCTTGCAGATTGGTGTGGGCTAGAAAAGGATTCGTGTCTTGTTAAACTGGGCTTTGCGCGTCGAGAAATTGATCGTCACAGTGAGGAGACGTTCTGGATGAAAGACAGGTCTGTGGTAGGAAAGACCCTCAGGAGCCGACACGGGAAGCCACGGGCTTCATGTACTTCTCCAATACCGCCAAACACGCTCACCGAGCTCGCTGTCACGATACTATAGCGTAAATCTGTATTGATGAATTTCCCGACTTGGCTCACGCTAGGGGTAACCCTCTTCATGTGGAGCCACTGATCGACCGATCCGCTCCACGGATCTTGAATCTTGGCAGACATGAAACGTGGGGGCTCTGGTTCCACGGAGAATCCTATTAGCTAAATCGAAAACGTGCTGGCGTTTATAGAGGGGCTTTCATGTAGGCCCGCCCATAGTATTCACAGCGCTCGATCCTACGCTTCTAAATGTGTTTTGATATATTGAAGGGACTAGATCCCCTTGCTGACCAGCCCTTGAATGATGCCTTCTACTTCATATAGGGTGTTGTCAGCTCCTCAGCCTCGTGAGGAGATTTGCCGTTCCAACAAAGCACGTCCACTCGTCTGACTTCTTTATAGCTTTGATAATTCTGGAAAGCGTCGCTATAACTGTCGAATTACCAAAGGTTCACTGAACACATGCGGGATTTTCTAACCCTGTCCAACTATCTGGACCGACTGTGGGCTTGTGAATCTTTCTCGATTCTGTCACCGGAAGCTGCGTATCAACAGAAGAATGGAACTCACAAAAGCTTGTAAATTGACCAGAAAGTGATTCAAGATTTAAGAATTCAAGAAACCAAGGTCCATAGTCCCCCGAAAAGACCACATCCGTGGTTCGCCTAATGTTTATCAACCATAATTTTGATCCGCGGTCCTGACAGTACCGCGCGCCTTTCACAGTGGAATTCCCCACCAACATGAACAAACAATAGCCACGGCCATTGGTGGATAGAATCACCACGATAAAGGCAATGTCATGAATCAATGGGCGCCATGAAGGCCTGGATCATTCTTTCCACATTAGACTTTTGCATTTGATATAAATCTCTCGATGGGAGTGATTGACGTTACCATACAGACGACTCGGTGCTGTCCGACCATTTTGCTATAAAGCTTTGATAGCAGGTCCTAAGCAACGTATTAGTTCCAGTTGCCCAATCATTCTGACACTATCTGCCTCTGCTCCCTTTACTCGCATATTGTAACCATGGACACCCTTGTCACCAGCCTCCCTCCGGATGTTGGGGCCATCCTCATGCGAAACATCGCAGTCATCGAGATTGTGTCCATGTTTTCAATCGGCGCATACAATTCTCTCGAGACTGTGGTCCTCATCTTCGATGCGTTCAAGCACTACCGTGGACTATACTTTTGGAGCATGCAAGTTGCAGCATGGGGGATTCTTGTGCATGCTATCCCAGCAATGGCTCGCTTCATGTCCCAGTCTTCCAATCTGGCGGTCTCCATTCCGTTCATGATCGGATGGTACGCGATGGTCACTGGTCAAGCGATCATGCTCTATTCACGACTAAGAATTGTTGTCCGCGATGCTACCCTCCTGCGATGGGTTTTATGGATGATTATCATCACTGCCTGCGCCTTTCACATACCCATGACAGTGCTATTCTTTGGCGTGAACAGCGGCGACGCCCGCTTCGCACGGCCGGCCATGATCTACGATCGTATCCAAGTGACGGGCTTTTGC